CCAAGTTGGCCTGCTGCGCTCCTTTCTCCCTGTACCCTGGTTCTGGGCTTCTTTCCATAGGAGCTCAGGTTGGGTGTTAGGGGTGGTACAGGCAGGGCCAAGGGGGTGTGTGAGCCCTCAAAACCCCTGCCCAGAGCTGGAGCCCTCATTCTCCCTCTCTCCCCATCTGCCCCAATCAGCAAAGCAGCTAAGGGTGCTACGGCCTCTGGAGGATGTGACCATCATTGAGGGGGGCAGTGCCACCTTCCAGCTGGAGCTGTCCCAGGAGGGTGTGACTGGGGAGTGGGCCCGGGGTGGAGTGCGGCTGCAGCCAGGGCCCAAATGCCACCTGCATGCCGAGAGCCGCACTCACCGCCTGGTACTCAGCGGCCTGGGCCTGGCCGACTCGGGCTGCATCTCCTTCACTGTGGATTCCCTGCGCTGTGCAGCCAGACTCACTGTGAGAGGTGCGGATTCTGGGCCCGCTGCCTGCCTACTGACTGCCCTGAGTGTGACTCTGCTGATCCCCCTACTGCTTGAGTGTGGCTCCTCTGACCCATCTGATCATCCAGCATGACCCCACTGGCCCTCCGGTCCCTGTGGACCACTGGTCGTGCGGCCACGAACAAGCCTGTGCCAGTGTGGTCCCTTTTGTCTGCCTGCCTGACCGTGGCCCCACAGACCGCCCTGAGCGTGACCCCACTGACCACACCTGCCTGCTGTGACCCCCACTGCCTGCCTCAGTGGGCCCCTCTGGCCCCTCCAGTCCCAGTGATCCACTAACTGCCTAAGGGTGACCCCACTAGCAGCTCTGCTTGAGTGTCCCCCCATTTGTCCAGCCCACCGTGTTCCCCACTGACCACACCACCCCTTGCCCTCTGAACCCATCATGTCCCCCACTGGCCAGTGTCACCTGTCCATTTCAGCCAAGTGTGGTCCCCACTGACCATGCTTGCCTCTGGGTGACTCCACTGGCATCTCTGCTTTGGTCGCCCCCCCAGGCCCCTGTAGCCCCAGCATGTCCCCCACTGACACCCCCAGCTGGCCACTCCTGTCCCATAGACTCCTGTGGCCCTGTCATGTCCTCCACTGACCAGCATCCCACTTGGACCACTTGTCCTAGCATATTCCCCCCCTCACTAGTGGCCTCTTCTGATCATCTCTCCTAAATGTGTCCACCCCTGAGCCCTGTACTCAAGTGTGTCTTCCTTCTCCCACTCGCAGAGGCCCCAGTGACCATTGTGCGAGGGCCACAGGACCTAGAGGTGACCGAGGGAGACACAGCTACACTGGAGTGCGAGCTTTCCCAGGCTCTGGCTGATGTCACCTGGGAGAAGGTCAGAGCCCAGCGTACCTTGGCGGCATAAGGACAGTAATAATAATGCCCCAAACGGAAACAACTAATATTCACTGAAGAGATGTGCCTGGCACTGTGCTCAGATTTACATTTACTTAACACTTAACCCTCTAATCCTTACAAGAGCCCTATGAGGTAGGTTTTGCTATCTCAGTGTTACCGCTAAGGAGCCTGAGGCTCAGTGGGGTGAAGTGCTGCCCAGGGGCAGACAAAAGGGGTAGGGCCCTAACTTCTCCAAGGGGTACACCGCCCCAACGAGGCTCCTGGCTCCTGGCGAGGCCCGGAAGGCTTGGGACAGCCAGATCCCGGCTTGAGAGCCCGGAAAGCACAAACGCGCCTCAAAACCGCTTGACATCAACAGAGGGCGCCGCCGCCTCCCAGGGCCGCGGCTGCCTGTGTCCAGCCGAGTGCACCCTGACCCTCTGTAACTCTCGCCCCTAGGACGGGCGCCCGCTCACCCCCAGCCCTCGGCTCCGGCTCCAGGCCCTCGGCACGCGTCGCCTTCTCCAGCTGCGGCGCTGCGGCCCCTTGGACGCCGGGACCTACAGCTGTGCAGTGGGGACGGCTCGCGCCGGGCCCGTCCGCCTGGTCGTGCGCGGTGGGTTCGGGGCGCTTCCCGGGCTGGGCACCGCTGTGGGCGCGGGGACTGCGGACCCGACTGGCCCGGAACAGACTCCGGTGCCTCCAGAGAGAAAGGCGGGGGAGTGGGCGTGGTCGGGCTCCGCCCCGCCCCACCTCACGCCTCCCGCTCCTCCCCAGAGCGCAACGTGTCTGTACTCTCCGAGCTCCGGTCGGTTCGCGCCCGCCAAGGTGACGGCGCCACGTTCGAGTGCACCGTGTCGGAGGTCGAGACCACGGGGAGCTGGGAGCTCGGAGGCCGTCCGCTGAGACCTGGAGGCCACGTCCGCATCCGACAGGAAGGTCTGGCGGACTTTCCTCCTACTCTGGTCCCTTGCTTCCCCGCCCCTGGCTCAGACAGACCCCTCCCTACTAGGACAAGCCCCGCCTCCATCTCGATGGGCCCCGCCCCATAGCCCAAAGAGCCGTCTCCCGGTTTTTGCCGGGCCCCCGGCTCTGAGCCCTCGGTCCTAGACCGCTCCTCTTTCCCTTCGGCATCCCAATTCCGCCCAGCCCAGCGCACATTTGCCGCGTCCAAACCGGCCCACCCTCCTCCCTGAACATTCCCCAGTTGCGGCTCCTGCCTCGCTTAGCGCCTCCCTCACCTCCCCAGGGAAGAAACATATTCTGGTGCTGAGCGAGCTGCGCCCGGAGGACGCCGGTGAGGTCCGCTTCCAGGCGGGACCCGCCCAGTCCGTGGCTCAGCTGGAGGTAGAGGGTAAGCAACTGGGGAGGGACGGTAGGGAGTGGGCATCATCTCCCCCGGGGACTGGCAGGCTGGCAACTGGTCCTGGGAACGCTGCCTCCCCACCTCCCTTCCTCGAGGGACTCTTCTTCTGGGGAGGGTCACAGAGGGCAGTGCGTTTCCTGGGGAGGAGGAGACTTTGGGGGTAGGGGTAGAGAGGAACGGGCTGGTACCACAGAGATCTGAGACCAGGAGTGGAGGCTGCAGGGGGAGGGAAGATGCGTCTCTCCTCCTGGGGGCCCTGCGTGTCCCTGTTAACGTAAGCCCTCGTCCTCACCCCCAGCACTGCCTCTCCAGATGTGCCGCCGCCCCCCTCGAGAAAAGACGGTTCTCATCGGCCGCAGGGCTGTGCTGGAGGTGACTGTGTCCCGCTCGGGGGGCCACGTGTGCTGGTTGCGGGAGGGGGTCGAGCTGTGCCCGGGAGACAAGTATGAGCTGCGCAGCCACGGCCCCACCCACAGCCTGGTCATCCATGACGTGCGACCTGAGGACCAGGGCACTTACAGCTGCCAGGCCGGCCAGGACAGCGCCCACACACGGTTGCTGGTAGAGGGTGAGTGAAGCTGACTGGGCAGAGGTCAGAGGGACAGGCTGGCTGACCAGGAAGGAGGGGTTGCCTGGGAGCTGGGGGGCTGAGACACACCTACCAGAGGTTTGCCGGGACTTGGGATGGCCAGTTGGTTCTGGGGCGCAAGGGAGGTGGGGAGTGGGGGAGGGGCTGAGGAGAGGAGGGAGCCCTGTGTTCTCCACAGGAACCATTTGCTTCAGGTCAGCTGTTCCCACCTTTCTATGCCCTTTCCTGTTCAGGCTTCTCACTCCCTCCTGCCTCTGGGCCACATCTGTCTCTCTTGAATGCCCCATTTGTACCCTAATTCCTCTCCTTCCCACCTACTGGTCCCTTGGTCTGTGCCCCACCCCCCCGCCTCTCATCCCGCTCCTGCTCTCTGCCCAGATGGCTTCTGCCCATCCCAGCGAGCTCCACATCGGTCTGAGCAGAGGGCTCCTGAGCTAGTCCCATTTCCTTCCTCTTCCACATACAGATGCCCCACCCTCCTGCATTTCATGCCTTGCCCTACCCCTAACTGGGGGCTGACCCGTTTTCCTGTGCCCACAGACATCCCAGACAGAGGCCCAGAAAGGGTGGGGCAGAGGGTGAGGACCCAGCTCTTCCTGTGTGGGTGCCCAGGCTCTGCCAGGGGAGAGGACGGTGGTGCCCACTCTCTCCCCAACCCCACGCCGAGTCATTCCTCTGCAGGTAGCTAGGAGGACCGAACCAGGCCAGGCAGGTGCCCTCGGACAGCTTGGAAGGCGTGTGCCCGTACCCTGGGCAGGGGTGGGGGGGGCAGGGGAACCAGAGGTGTTGGGAGACAATAAAGTGGTACAGTCCTTTTCCCTGGCTCTTTGTGTGATGTAGGAGGGCGGAAGTTGCCTGGGGCCCCTGTGCAGTAAGTGACACAGGACACCAAAGGCTGCAGCGCTTCCAGTGTAGCCGCTGAAAGTGCCAGCCACTGAAGACCACCACCACTCCTGGCAGAAGCCACACAGTTTGGCACATTTATAAAATATGTAAAACAGGGTGGGGTGAGGGGAGACAGAAGCATGAGGTGTCCAGGGTGGCATGACAGACACCAGACATGCACCGTGCATTGAAGCCCCCTCCCCCAGCCCCTCTCCCTACCCCAGCCCAGAGCAGCACCCCCCACCCCCCTCCCCTGCCACTGCCCTCAGGCTGGTGGCTTTGCAGAGGACAGGGGACCAGGGTGAGGGGTGCTGCCGTTTACCCCATGGACAAGGACAAGAAGCCTTAGATGAGTCTGGTTGAGAGGTGGAGCCATGGGGAAGGAAGGCAGACCTCTTCCACTTTGACATGCAAGAGAGTGGCCTGTGGGACCCCAGCGGTGGGAGAGGAGGGGCAGGGCCAACCTTAGACAAGCCCTACCAATCAGAAATCTAAGGCAAGGGTCCCAGTGTCCCCTCCAAGCCCACCCCTCCATACACACACACACACACACACACACACACACAGGCAACACGCTCACAACCCTGAGCACACCCCAATGGGGCTCACACCCCGCATCCCTCAGGAGCCCCTCTGGAGCTTGGGAGGAGGCTTTCCCCTTAGGCCAGGGCTAGCCTGGGACAGGTTCTCCCTCCCGGTAGCCAGGCCAGCCCTCTTCAGGGTGGGGAGAGGGACAGCCAAAGGCCACAAGGCCAGGCGGGCTGGGTGGTGGTCCAGCAGGCCTCCCCAAGCTGGCAGAGCTGGTGACCGAAGAGTCTAGGTGGGCAGGAGCAGCAGGACTGCTATACCCGCACGGGGGGCCCTGAGCAGGCCGTCAGTGGCCCCCGAGACCCATACTCATAGTCCGCATCTGTGGGCGAGGCCATGAAGGAGCTCAGTGAGCTCCCCGTCTGCCGATCCCGGAAGCTCTGGATGTAGCTCTGTGGGAGAGTAAAGACAGGCATGAGAGAGGTACTGCAGACCCTGCCCAGAAGGCCACCTCAGGCAGACATCCTATCCCTGCAGCCCACAGCCTGAGACTCAGCCCAGACTGCCTTAGGCCTGGGACCTCACCACACCCGGAGTCCACAGCCCTGAGACCCTACCCCCTACCATACCTCATTAATATACTCAGGACACCTTTCCCCCAATCCTAGAGCTGGACCCCTCAGGCTCGTTGGGCAGGGGTCACAATAGGTAGACAAATGCCAGGCCTTCTAGATAGTGTGATCAGCCCCTTGGGAAGGCCCAGTCTGGCTGGGACAGAATCTGCCACATTCCCTTCCCCGTTCGGGCTAGAGAGGCTCAGGGTGCTCACCGGGGAGAGGACATCTCCGTTGAAGCGTTTGATGGGCACTGGCCTGCGCCGATAAGCCGGGTCAGGGGGCCCAGGTCTTGGAGGAGCCCGGGAGCCTCTGGGAGGTGCCCGAGGGGGTCTCTTCTTCCTCCGCTTCTCCTTGCGCTCCTCCTGCTGCCGAATCCGCATCAGCTGCACTCGTCGCCGCTGTCGGCTGATGACCACTGTGAGGGGATGGGCAGAGAAGGGTCTCACAGGCCCTCGTGCCTTGTCTCCCCCAAGCCTCCCCAAGCCTCCCTACCCAAGGGCTCCAGGCTTCCAGATTCCTTTCGTCTGTGACCTCCCACTCCCCCTTCCTTTCCTGGTCTCCCACCTCCCAGATGGGATTTCTTGCGGTTGTTTTTTTCTTCCGAGGGTCATATGGAAGATTCCTAGACTCCTAAGTACTCCCTCTCTAGCTGTTAATCCCTTTTCCCATCCTGAGCGCCAGGTGACTCACGTAAACCAGACGTCATCCTCTCTCAACCAGACAACTACTGTCTCCTTCTCACTGGTCTGCCTTTCTACACTTGCCCTCCCCGATGTGTTCTACCAGCAGCGAGTGAGCATCCCAAACCCTAAATGAGATTATATCCCCCCTGCTTTAAACCTGCAGGAGTAGCACATTGCCTTCCTGGTAAAATCCAGAGTCCTCATCATGGCCCACAAGGCCCGCACAAATGGCATGCCTCCACCCACCACACTCCAGCCCACTTGCTCAGCAAGCCAAGCTTTTCCTTTCTGGGGACCTGCCCTTGCCGCTCCCTCTTCTCTAGCTCTTTGCATGTGGCCTCTTATCCTTCAGCACTCTACTTAAATGTCACCTCTTCCAAGTGGCCTTCCCTGACCACCCTATCTATAATAGCCTCTGTAAGTCACTTGTTCACGTTGCCCTGCATATCTCTTTCATATGACTCCAGAACTGGAATTATCTACTGTTTGCATTCTGTTTCCTGTCTCCCTCCACCTGAATGTAATCCCATGAGGGCAGGGACCTTTTCTGTTGGATCCCCTGTGCCTGAAATGAGCTTGCCACAGACCCCACGCAGCCCCCTATACCTTATTGCAGAATGAAGGGTGGGGCTGAGGTCCTGCCTTGCTAGACCCTGAGCAGGTCAGCTCTCCAACCCTATTTGGCCGCTGATGTGCACAGCTTCTTCCCCCACACCCCATTCCGTCCTCCCCGCCCCCCCGACCCATCCCCCGCCGCTCATTTCTCTCTCGCCCACCCTGGCCTGTGCCCTCTCACCTTCCGTGTGGGAGTCCCCCTCGGCCGTCACCCGCCACTGCACCAGAACGCCCATCAGGCTGAGCAGGGGCCAAAGTGCCAGCAGGACCCAGCTGCGCCAGCAGAGGGGAGGTACTGGGGCGGCGCGCAGGCGCTCCACCGCATAGCGCCCCAGCAGCAGCAGCTCGGCAAAGTAGTCGGCGGCCGTGGCAATGAGCGCAGCACCGGTCACGGCGGTGGCCAGGGTGGTGAGTGGTCGGGGCCAGCGCAGCGTGAGCAGGGCACAGAGTAGGCCGCCCCCCAGCAGCAGCCCTAGCGGGCCCCACACGGAGCCCGGCTGGTAGTAGGGCGCGGAGCCCAGCAGGGCGGCAGCAGCGAGCAGCAGACCGAGCAGCAGCCCAACCAGGAAGAGGCCCACGCTGCGCACCAGCATGGCCACCAGCCCACAGAGCAGCCCAATGCCTAGTGCGATGCCCGCACTTGCCCCGGCACTCAGCTGCGTCTCCAGCACCCGCTCTCGGTAGCACAGCAGGAAGATGACCACCGAGCCAAACAGCAACCCAGTGAGGAAGAGCACTGCCTTGAAGCAGCGGTAACCTGGAGGGGAACAAGGGCTAGTGAGGGGCCAAAATGAGGTCACCGGGCTCCAGGCAGGAGATTGTAGGGTTCATGGATATGGAATCACAGGGGAACCAGGAGGAGGACACTAAGATCAGAGACTTGGGGAGGTCACTGGGGTCCTGAGGGTATCAGTGATGGGACCACTGAGGTCAACGCAGGTCAGAGAGATAGGTCACTGGGAGTCACTGGGAAAACAGAGAGATAGAGTGATTGAGATGAGCATTGGGTCTTTGAGGGTCAGAGGAGTCAGATAAACCATTGGAGTCAAGAGTCAATCAGTGATAGGGTCATTAGGATCTTTGGAATCAGAGGGGTCAGAGAGATTGGTCACTGGAGTCACAAGGGATCAGCAATTAGAATCATCATGGCCTTGGGAGGGACTGTTCAAAGACATGAGGGATTCAGAAGTCAGAAAGAACTTGAGAGATGAGGGTCACACAGGTTCAGAAAGATGAGGTCTTTGAGGGGTCACAGGGCTTCAGAGATATGACATTATTAGAAAACAACAAAGAGAATGGAGAAGCAGGATTATTGGGGAAGGGTTCCAGAAGATGAGGTCATTGCAAGCAGGGGAATTGACAGACATGGAATCATTGAGGGTATTAAAGGGTTTCTGAGAGGGGGTAATATTGAGGCGAGAGAAATGGGAGATCATGGTGGGGGAGGGGCACACAACGGCATCATAGGGATCAAAGTGTTAGGAGTAATAGAGGGAGACAGAGGGTTGGGAGGTAATGAGATAACAAGGTGGTTGGGGATCACTAGGGTCATAGGGTGTCAAAGAGGATTACAAGGGGAAACAGTGCTCATGGAGTTTCAGCAAAATGCAAGTTATACCCATTAAGAGTACCTGGAATGGTGAGGAACTTGTAGATATGAACAGTTGGGTAGATGGAAGTCAGAGATGGAGGTCAAGGGGTCAGGGAGCTCCAAAGAGAAAGTTGGTAAAGAGGAGATGGAGTTTTAGGACTGAGGGGAGGCATCAGAGTCCAGGAGGCTCTGGGGTTAGAAAGAGGAGTAGGGCATACAAAAGTGCTCAGAGTCCAAGAGCCTGGGAGTGAGGGCATCCAAGGAGGGTAGGGTGGCAGGAAAGCCCAGAAGAGGGAGTGTCCGGTTGCACTGAGCAACTGCAGAGGGAATGGGTATGGGTAGTGGAGGGCATGAGGTGACAGACTCCTTGGAGACCGAGAATGTGTCCTGAACCCTTAGAAGGGCACTTCCTCTTGCTCATTCTGCAGTTGTTCAGCCTCGAGTTTGTGGGTGGAAGGGGAGGGACCATCTGGCTCCCATCCGTGCCTACTACACACCATTCTAGGGGGAGGTAGAGAGGCTGCAGAGCACTAGTCTCATGACACCTCTGCCCAGCCTGGAATCCAGACCTCCGTGCCTCCTTTGTGCTTCTTCCTGTTGCCTATAATGCTCCCCCTGGAGACCCCCAGCCCATCGAGCTTGCTCCCCTCTCTGAAATCCTGTAGCTCTTGCTATAGTCATTGGGCACTTACTCCACTAGCCCATCTAGCACCTTTGAGCAAATTAGAAAAAGTCGTGTCTTCCTCTAGGCAAAGCAGCCCATGCCAAGGCCTAGAGTTTGGCAAGTGGAGCATGGGCTGGATTTCAGCCCCCAGCTACCTATTCAACTGAACTCCCTTGTACAGTGCCTATCCTCTACAACTGTTCACAGCAGCCCTGATTACTAGAGCCTGCCTTGTAGGCTATCTCCATGTATGTGACTACCATCTAGCCCACCCTAACATGTATTACGGGGTGAATGTTCCAGAAGTCTCTCCCCTACTGGACAATATGCCCTGTGGTAAAGGACTATGTTCAATCACCTTGCTAAATATTTTCAGTGCCTGCCTAGCACAGTGACCCAAACACATCTTCACCACAATAGCTATTATTTACTGAGTGTCTACTATTTTCACAACAACCTATATGAGACAAATATCATTGTCCCCACTGTTCAGATGAGAAAACTGAGGCTCAGACAGGTTAATGTGCTAAGGTATCACAATTAGTAAGGTACAGAGCCAGTTTCAAATTCAAGCATGCCTAATTAAAAAACCTGTGTTTTCTAGGATCCAGAGTCTAGATGATCCATGAACATGTGTGGGATGAAAGAAAGAGATAACTATTCATGGTGGTGGTGGTAGCGGTGGTGATGGTGGTGGTGGTGGTGGTGGTGATGTTCTAGAGAAGATTTGGGGTGCCTAGAGAAATAATTTGGGGAAACAGTGGGGAGCCCAGATGAGGAATGAGATAGGGGTCTCACCGAAGAAGCAGTAGACGACTCCAAACAGACAGCACATGATGCAGACGAGGGCCGGCAGTGCCTGGTACCTGCGCTCCAGGGGCTGCTCACAGGGTGCACCCCAGAAGGCATCATCTGGCTCAGGGGGCAGCAGCTGGAACCGCAGTGTCGCCACAGTGCCTGGCATAGTGCTGGGAATGGAAGGGAGTCACCCTCCCAGGTCAGCCTGACAGAGAGGAAGTTGGGGTCAAGGAGGAGTCCTGGGTCTCCACCAGGATAGGGGCAAGAATGGGAATGGGAGAGCCAGGCAAGGACACCAGCGGACAAAGGAGTGGTGCCCAGATCATGCAGCTCTGGAAGCATTTCTGAAGTGGAGCAAAAGACAAAGGGAAACAAAGTGCCTGGCTAAAGGAGGGGCTGGGGTGAAGAAGTTAAAAGGGACACTGGGTTGAGGGAAGAGGAGGGCAGTGTGCTGCCGGTAAGAAGGAGGCAGCCAGGAGACTCCTCCGTGGGCGGCCAAATCTGGGATTGTCCAAGATCTACCTGGGCTGGAGCCGACCTGAGCTTCTGAGCGAAAGAGGCCGTGCAGGGGCCCGAGGGTCCGGGGTTGTGGAGCGCCAGAGGCCCCAGCGGACTGGGGTCCGGGAAAAGTCCGCCGTGCGGGGAAGGGGGCTGCTGGGCCGGAGCGACTGGTCTCCGTGCGGCGGCGTCGCTGCTCCGCCTCCAACACCGGCTGGCACTCCAGTCCCGCGGAGTCTGGGGACTCAGGCTGGGCCTGGGAAAGGGAAAGGAGCAGGAGCAGGGGCTCGGGCTGCCCCAGAGCCGCGGCCCCATGCCCTGAGCCCGCCCGCGGCCTTTGGTGCTGATGGACAGCTCCGGCCTCTGCTCCTGACGTCACTCAGGGCGCACCACCCAGGCAGGGGCGGGCTGCTTCTGACGTCACCCGGGACGCACCAACCACGCCGGGGAGGCAGGGGACTCCGCCCCCGGCATTTCCCTCACCCGCACTGAGGAGGGGGCACTTCCGGGGGGTCCTTCCCCTTTAACCTCCCCCTTCTGCTCCGTCTCCGGTAGCTGGAGCCCGAGACCCCACCCCGGGGGCGGGGACCTAGCAGTGACACGTCGGACAGCGGCGGCCGCGGCCCAGGCTCCCGCGCGGAGCGCTGGAACCCTGCGCCCTACGGAGGAGGATCGGAGCGCGGCGCAGGGGAGTTCGACCAGGGCGGTGTCGGTGGGGAGGGAGCGGGCCCGCCCTCTTGGCCCAGGCCCTCGGATCCGCCCCCTCCCTGGTCCCGCCCCCTCGGAGCTTCCTCTGGTTGCTGTGGGGCTGCTCCGGGGCCGGGGGCCCGCGGTCCCGGCGCCATGCGGGCATCGCTGCTGCTGTCGATGCTGCGGCCCGCAGGGCCCGTGGCCGTCGGCATCTCCCTGGGCTTCACTCTGAGCCTGCTCAGCGTCACCTGGGTGGAGGAGCCGTGCGGCCCAGGGCCGCCCCAACCCGGAGATTCTGAGCTGCCGCCGCGCGGCAACACCAACGCGGCGCGCCGGCCCAACTCGGTGCAGCCCGGCGCCGAGCGCGAGAGGCCCGGGGCCGGCGCAGGCGCCGGGGAGAACTGGGAGCCGCGTGTCTTGCCCTACCATCCTGCACAGCCTGGCCAGGCCGCCAAAAAGGCCGTCAGGTAGGGATCAGCCCCGCCAGCCCCACCCCCTGGGCACCCGCCGGGTCGGGCGCTCCGGGGAGGCCGCCGGAGGCTGGGTCAGGCTCCGGAAGGAAGGGGCCGGCCGGCCAGGAAGTCTTTGGCCCCGATAACTTCCGATGGCCCTGCTTCCCCGGGAGCTGTGGAACTCATCGGAAGCCCTTTCTGGGCCCCGTCCAGGCCTGGGCTGAACTTGCCCTCCTCTGTCATAAACTGGCTCGACCCAATGCCATGGTCCCTCATAGACCCTATTAGCTCCCTGGTTGGGCTGTTGGGTTTCCAGAAATGACTGGTACATAGGGTGGGTGCATAGAGAGAGGGAAAGAGAAAAGAAAAAACTAGGATTTACCTGTTTCTCCTGTTCCCGGGTGGGACACCTCAGGATGAGATTTGGGGAGGAGGGGGAGGTACCCATCCCATTAATGCCTCTGCCCATGAGTTGAAATAATTTTCTCCTAAGTAACCCTGAGTTCAAATTTCAGTTTTGCAACTTACCTTCTGCATTATGGAAGGTAAGTTACTGGAACCCCTGAGCCCCAGTTTGCCCTTGTCCCAAACACACGCAGTACGTTCCTATGCCATGGATTCCTTTACATCATTTGTGTGATGTATTTGTGATATAATGGCATATTTATATAGAAATCAGTATATACGCGGTGTGTGGAATAACTGCTGAGCACTTGGCTAAGCGCTTTGATTAGATACAATCAACCTCTTTTTACAGAGCAGGCTACTGAGGGAGGCTCAGGTAGGTTAAATTACTTGTTCAAGGACACAGCTGCTAAGTGGTGAAACAGAGAATCAGACCCACAAAGTATCCTTCATATCGGCATGGATATTGCCGTCTCCCCAAAGCACTGAGTAGGTAAGGCCAATATTTCAGGTAAATCCTCATGACCCCTAGGAGAGAGTTGTTATTCTTATCCTATACATAGGGGAAGAAACAGGTCCAGAGAGGATGTGACCCGCCAGAGCCTATGTATGCGCTCTCCTGCCTGCCCTGTTGTCTTTTTGATAACCTTGTGCCCTCTTCCCCCCCACCCCACCCCACCTCCCAGGACCCGATACATCAGCACAGAGCTGGGCATCCGGCAGAGGCTGCTTGTGGCGGTGCTGACCTCACAAGCCACGTTGCCCACACTGGGTGTGGCCGTGAACCGCACGCTGGGGCACCGGCTGGAGCGCGTGGTGTTCCTGACTGGCTCTCGGGGCCGCCGGGCACCACCGGGCATGGCCGTGGTGACACTGGGTGAGGAGCGGCCCATCGGGCACCTGCACCTGGCACTGCGCCACCTACTGGAGCAACACGGTGACGACTTTGACTGGTTCTTCATAGTGCCTGATGCCACCTACACGGAGGCCCATGGACTGGCTCGCCTAGCTGGCCGTCTTAGCCTGGCAGCCGCCGCCCACCTCTATCTGGGCCGGCCGCAGGACTTCATCGGGGGAGAGCCCGCCCCAGGCCGCTACTGCCACGGCGGCTTTGGGGTGCTGCTGTCTCGCACACTGCTGCAGCGGCTGCGCCCCCACCTGGAAAGCTGCCGCAACGACATCGTCAGCGCGCACCCGGATGAGTGGCTGGGGCGCTGCATCCTCGATGCCACGGGGGTGGGCTGCACCGGCGACCACGAGGTGGGCAGATAAGCCGCCCCGCCGGCACCTCCGGTCTGAGCTTGTGCACTTGCCCCTCAGAGGCGAGGGGGTAGTTGGAAATAATAGCCCTGGGTTTTCCATGCCAGTGCTGTCACTTTCTATCCCTGTGGTTACAGGGGCAAATCACTGCATCTCCTGAAATCTGGTATCCTCCAGACCAATGAAAATAACTATTGCTCGGGGCTGTTCTAAGGATTAGGAAAGAAAATAAGGGAGCCTTGCACATAGTGGGTGTTCAGTGTTGGCTATTATTTTATTTGAGACCCTGGACAGCTCTGAGATAGGATGCATATGCCCATTTCACAGATGAGCTAGCAGAGGCTTGCCCAAAGTCACACAAGCTCACAACTGGTCAAGGTAGACTTAAACCCAGTAATTCTGACTCCCAAGTCCACAGCAGGTCATAGGATGGGAAGGTGAGGCACACACTGGGGGGTGGGTGGGGAGGCTGTCCCATCACTCCTCCCGTTATGGACCCCTTCCCTTCCTCTCTCCAGGGAGTCCACTATAGCTACCTGGAGCTACACCCTGGGGAGCATGTGCAAGAAGGAGACCCCCGTTTCCGCAGCGCCCTGACAGCCCACCCAGTGCATGACCCCGTGCATATGTACCAGCTGCACAAAGCTTTTGCCCGAGCTGAGCTGGAACGCACATACCAGGAGATCCAGGAGCTGCAGGTATGGTCTGGGCCCCGGGGATAGAGGAGACAGGTTCTGAGACTTCTCAGAGATCCCAGGAAAATAAAAACTACCACTAGAGGGGCTCCTGGGTGGCTCAGTCGGTTGGGTGTCTGCCTTCGGCTCGGGGCATGATCCCGGGGTCCTGGGATCGAGTCCCACATCGGGCTCCCTGCTCAGTGGGGAGTCTGCGTCTCCCTCTGCCTGTCACTCCCCCTGCTTGTGCACGTGCTTATGCTTATGTGCTCTCTCTCTGTCTGCCAAATAAATAAATAAAATCTTAAAAAAAAAAAAAACTAACACTAGAGTCTGAGAACAAACCAGCTTCCCAGTCACTGTTCGTTTCTGCCTTTTCTGAGAAGCTCCTCTGGAAACTTCCCTTTCCACCTTAGGCTGCCCCAATCTGGGGAAAGGATAGGTGGGGGCCCTGGGATAGCAGAGGTTGGCAGGGGAGTGGGGACCCATCCCAAGTAGCACCCATCCAAAGTAGCATCCCAATGGTTGCTTAGTCCTCCAGCAATGTGCTGACCCCCATGGTCTTTGCCTTGCTCATGGTCTGTTTCTCCAACCTAGTGGGAGATCCAGAACACCAGCCATCTGGCAGCTGACGGGGAACGGGCAGCCGCCTGGCCCGTGGGCATTCCAGCACCATCCCGCCCGGCCTCCCGCTTTGAGGTGCTGCGCTGGGACTATTTCACAGAGCAGCATGCTTTCTCCTGTGCTGACGGTTCGCCCCGATGTCCGCTGCGGGGGGCCGACCAGGCCGATGTGGCTGACGTTCTAGGGGCAGCCCTGGAAGAGCTCAATCGTCGCTACCACCCAGCCCTGCGGCTCCAGAAACAGCAGCTGGTTAATGGCTACCGTCGCTTTGATCCTGCCCGGGGCATGGAGTACACCCTGGACTTGCAGCTGGAGGTGCTGACCCCCCAGGGCGGCCGCCGGCCCCTGACCCGCCGGGTACAGCTGCTACGGCCGCTGAGCCGTGTGGAGATCTTGCCTGTGCCCTATGTCACGGAGGCCTCGCGTCTCACTGTGTTACTGCCTCTGGCTGCGGCCGAGCGTGACCTGGCCCCTGGCTTCCTGGAGGCCTTCGCTGCCGCAGCCCTGGAGCCTGGCGACGCCGCAGCAGCCTTGACCTTGCTGCTCCTGTACGAGCCCCGGCAGGCCCAGCGGGCGGCCCATGCGGACGTCTTTGCACCTGTCAAGGCCCACGTGGCCGAGCTGGAGCGGCGTTTCCCCGGTGCCCGGGTGCCCTGGCTCAGTGTGCAGACGGCCGCGCCCTCACCGCTGCGCCTCCTGGATCTGCTCTCCAAGAAGCACCCGCTGGACACGCTGTTCCTGCTGGCCGGGCCAGACACGGTGCTCACGCCTGACTTCCTGAACCGCTGCCGCATGCACGCCATCTCCGGCTGGCAGGCCTTTTTCCCCATGCACTTCCAGGCCTTCCACCCGGCCGTGGCGCCCCCCCAGGGCCCCGGGCCCCCGGAGCTGGGCCGAGACACGGGCCGCTTTGATCGCCAGGCAGCCAGCGAGGCCTGCTTCTACAACTCCGACTACGTGGCGGCCCGCGGGCGGCTTGCAGCGGCCCCTGAGCAGGAGGAGGAGCTGCTGGAGAGCCTGGACGTGTATGGGCTCTTCCTGCGCTTCTCCAGCCTCCACGTGCTGCGGGCCGTGGAGCCCGCGCTGCTGCAGCGCTACCGGGCCCAGGCGTGCAGCGCGCGGCTCGGCGAGGACCTGTACCACCGCTGCCGCGAGAGCAAGCTGGAGGGCCTGGGCTCCCGCACCCAGCTAGCCATGCTGCTCTTTGAGCAGGAGCAGGGCAACAGCACCTGAGCCCGCCCCGCACCCCGGAGCCCCAGCATGGCAGCGCCGCCACCCCCCCACCCCACCACCGCCGCTCCTCCCCAGCAACCCGGAGCCACCTACCAGCCTCGCTGGACAGGGCTGGCTGCAGCCTTGGACCCCAGGGCCGCCCGCGGGCCCCCTCTCTCTAGTTTTGTGGGTCCTTGGGCTGAGGACAGGCCCCGGGCGGGGGGAACCTCCGGAGCTGCCCCTTCCTGCCCTAAACCTGGTCTCCCGCGCCCCCCCCCCTTGACGCTGCTGATTCAAGCTGTGGCCTCTTGAGTATTTATGCAGTGCAGTCTGCCTGACGCCAGCCCCATCTCCTAGGGCCTCCTGGGGGCTGGGCTGTAGATGAGTGGTTGGGGAAGAGGGGAGCTGAGAGAAGAAGGTAGGGTATCTCCCAACTTCTCCCTTCTGGACCTGGATGAAGCTCCCTGCCTTTAATAAACTGAGTGTGGACTTGTGATTCTGAGTTTTTCAAAAGGTGGCCTGGGGACAGGGAGAGCTGGCGGGGAGGATGGAGGCCCCCTTGTCCTGGCTGGCTGGGGCCCGGGTTTCCTTTTCCCAGGGATCAAGCCATGCCTGTGCTCCGCCCTGCCCCAGCTTGGTCATACAGGCACACAGAGAATTCTTTATGCCTCTTTATTCTCAGTTTCGTTGGTGCTTTATAAAACCAGACCAGAGGCAGAGAGGCCCATGGAGAAGGCTCCCTTCCCCACCCCCAAGCTCGGCCAAGGTCTAATGGGTCGGCCTGCTCCCTGTGGAGGGGACTCTGAAGGTGGGGTTGGGGCAGGGGGAATTGGGAGCTGGGCCAGGCCTGCTGGGCCACCCAGTCCCCCTGCCAAAAGGGGGAGCTGGGCCTGGAGAGGGACAGGAAGTAGGACCAGCCCAGCACTCCTGAGTCCTGGGGGTTCTCCCTCTCCTGCTGCCATTCTAGGGCTAGGACCCTTGGCTGTCCCTGAATCACCCACCCCCATAGCCCCACCCACCTTCTACATCTGTAGCCCCACCCCCACCCTGTCCTCCCTAAATATATACAAATGTACAGGGGGTCCCACCCCTGCTCCTGGGGTCCCCTTCCTCCACCTCCCTTGCTCCTTTCCTCCCCTCCCCTCCAGCCCTCCTGGGGCACCAGCCTGGGGCTTGGGGGGGGGGGGGTTGGGAGGGGGGACCAGAAAGACCCTTGTGCAAAGCCACTGGTGCCAGAGCTGGTGAGAGCCTGAACCGAGTCCCCACCCTCCCAGCGAACACCGCCCTCTCCCCCTCCCCTTGGGCTGCCCCCAGGCCTTGGGTCCCAGGAGCAGGAGGAGACCTTTGGGGATCCTGGGAGGGGTCCCAGACTCCTGGGTCTTTTTAGACACAGCGCCATCCTAGCAAGCAAAGTCTTCAAAGAGGCCTCCTCGGGGGCCAGGAGGGTGGTGGTGGTTGGGGAGCAGGCCACTGGCTCCCCCGCCCTCAGCACGGCCCCGGCTAGGGCATGGGCTCTGCAAGATGAAGAGGGAGTGAGACATGGAGAATGTGAGCCAGACCCCTGGGCCCCACACAGCCGGGCTTTCCCTGTGCCCTGGGGCAGGGGCTCCAGGGGAGCTCTGACAAGCTGGGTCAGAAGCTGCTGAGGCCGTCAGTCCTAGCAGAGGGCACTGACTGCACTCTGCAGAGCTCATCCTCACCTGCTCCTTCAGCTCCTGCAGCCCCAGGGTGGAGATGCCCCCAGTGGAGGTCCGCAGGGGGGTCTTGGGACGACGCCACACCCGCTTCAGTCGGTCCCAGGACACCTTGGGGTTCAGGGTCGGGGGACAGCAGTGGGCTCAGGAAACTTGGTAGGGGAGAAGGGCTAGGCCTCACTGGGGCCCACCCTGTAGGGCTCGCTGCCCCAGCAAATCCCCAAGAGGACTCCCTAATCCTCCCCACCCATCCCCTTCTCCTAACTCCTCAGTGCCCTCACGCCTTCCCGCTGGTCAGGAGACCCCGGCCCCAACGGCCAAGCTTGGCTTCGTGGCCAGGCCAGCCGCACCGGGAAGCCTGTACTGCCTGCCCGGCTTTTCCCACAGCCTCTCCTCCCACCCTCCATGCCCCCTCCAGGGGGGCCCCCAGGCCCCCATCCCTTGCCTCATAGATGTAGTCCAGGATCTCCAGTAGTGTGAGGATGCTGGCCCCAATGAACAGGCCCATCTGTCCCCCGAGGTCTCCTGGGGAGCATGAGAGCAGGTCAGAGGTACAGGCTAGGCTGATCCACCCCCATGGAAACGGGTCAGGACCGTGGCTCACCCAGCAGGGCTGACAGGCCATAGGCTGCTCGCTGCTCCATGGCCTCAGAGGTCAGGGCTTCAAAAAAGACATCGAGGACCAGGAAGTTCTCCCTGTGGAGACAGGAAGCAGAGTGTCCCTGTGGGGCGGTTCTTCCGAGGAGGCGGCTGGCGGGGACCTGCCAGGTCCAGCAGGTCCTGGTCCGAGGTCCCCTGCCCCAAGAAGCCAGGGACCACCTCCCTCAGACTCCCAAAGGCTGTGAAGGGGGACCGTCCTAGGTGCATGTCTGCTTTATATTTTGAGGGTTAGCCACGGGCCTGGGAGAGCAAAATAAAACTCCTGGGCCTGAAGGAGTCCCTCCTGCCTTCCACTGTAAAGCAGCAAATGACATTCACTCCGCATCACCGCAATACCTCTCTAGAACTTTCAGTGGCTCCCTATTGCCCAGCAGTCCACCCCCAAGTTCTTTCTCCGGGCCTCCAAGACTGCCCATGATCTGTACCTTCCTAGCCAGACCGCTTTCTTACCTGCTTCTCTCCACACAGCCACCCCCCCGCCCCCCGTGCCGCTCAGGCTCGTGTCTGTATGATCCCACAGTTCTCTAGTTGGGAGGCCTCCCCCGTCTCCTCCTCTCACACACCCAGGGGCCTCCCCTGCTTCGTCGTCTGCCCCGCCCAGTAATCTCAGTGGAGGCCTGACAGTCGGTATCACACCATCAAATATGGCCTCACCCACACACTGGGGCCAGAGCTTTGTGGTGTAATTGTCTCTGTCCCCACAGGACCCACACCCTGGCACCCACAGGATGCTCAGCATTTGTAGATTGGCTGCAGGGGACCAGACCCAAGGCTCAGTGAGGCCTCTCCTGCCGGCCGGCCACCTAGTCCCTCTCAGTCAGCACAGCATTCCCTCAGTGTGCATTTAATGGCCCCCAGGTTGCTGGGGGAGAAAGACCCAGCAGAGGGCGGGAAAGCAACAGGTGGGTGCAATGAGAGAGAGAGGTACAGGCTGCCGTGGGAGCTCGGAGGAAAGACGTTTGGATCATGAAAGGCCTCCCTGGAGGCGCCTGGGTGTCTTCAGTCAGTTAAGCGGCTGCCTTCAGCTCAGGTCATGAGCTCAGGGTCCCGGGATGGAGCCCGGGTCAGGCTCCGCGCTCAGGGGGGAGTCTGCTTCTCCCTCTGCCTCTGCCCCTCCCCCCACTCATGCACGCTTGTGTGTGTACGCACGCTCTCTCTCTCAAATAAATAAAAATCTTTATTTAAAAAAAGAGGTGCCTCCCTGGAGGTGGGGACACAGGACGGGACTTGGAGGATGGGTAGGGCTTAATTAGAGGAACGGGATTGTGAAACGCACCCCTGCCAGGAGCCTCCTTAGTAAGAACGATGCAGCCCACCCCCAGGGTGCGCCCTGCACCAGGCCTGCTGAGGGTGGCCTCCGCTACACACACACACACACACACATACACACACACACACACACACACACGTACCGGATGTAGGTCTCATTGCGGTTGTACTTCCTTGCCAGGTACCGGGCTGAGCCCCTGTTGGGGATCCTGACCATGGAGATTTCTTTCCCGTAGCGAGTCAGGTTGCAGGGAGTAGGGCAGAAACACGGGCCCTCGGAGCCCCCACCCAAGGAGTCTGCAACACAGAGGCACCAGCTGCAAGGGGGGAGGGCGGGTGGTCCAGAGGCCCACTAGCTGCCGGGAGAAGGTGTAGGGGCTGTCCTGAGGCAGGCACGTCCACGGAGGGGAGGGAGGGGCCTCTACTGGCACTGCCTAGGGGAGACTTGCTGGGGGATCCTTCCTGGACCAGCTTCAGACTACCTAAGAAAGCAGGTGAAGGTAGAGCCCCCCAGCACCCTCCTATAGGCTTATCCTTCTGTGTCCCAGCCCCCTGGGGCGGAGAAGTCCCCATGGCTCAGACGGAGGACACAGCCCATCCATCGGAGCTAATCAATCACACGAGGTCTCTCTCTCTCTCTCTCTCTCTCTCTCTCTCTCATACACACACACACACACACACACACACACACACACACACACAGGGGGCTTGGAGGATGCTGGATGGATTACATGCTTGTTTTTACATATGCAGATGGATGAGTGGATGAGTGGGTGGGTGGATGGACAAATGGGCAGAAAGACAAATGCTATGTTTAATATGCTGGATTTTCTAGGGGCGCCTGGGTGGCTCAGTCAGTTAAGCATCCGCCTCTTGGTTTCAGCTCAGGTCATGATCTCATGGGCCTGGGTCCCTGCTCAGCAGGGAGTCTGCTTGAAGATTCTTTCCCTCTGCCCCTCCCGCCCACTTGTGTGAACGCACATGTGCTCGCTCTCTCTCTCTCAAATAAATAAATCTTTAAAAAAATATGTTGGGGGCGCCTGGGTGGCTCAGTCGTTAAGCGTCTGCCTTCGGCTCAGGTCATGGTTCCCGGGTCCTGGGATCAAGCCCCGCGTCGGGCTCCCTCCTCAATGGGAAGCCTGCTTCTCCCTTCTCCCACTCCCCCTGCTTGTGTTCCCTCTCTCGCTGTGTCTCTCTCTGTCAAATAGATAAATGGAATCTTTAAAAAATATAAAAAATTAAAAAATATGTTGAAAAAATTTTTAAGTAAAAAAATACACTAGATTTTCTCTGTTCTCCTCTTCAGATTCACTCTCCACTCTCCACCTCTCTCTGTGCTCAGGAGGCAGGGCTCTCTGCCAGACGCATCAGTTAGACTCCCTCATCTTCTGGCTTTGGGTTGGGTTGGGCCAATGGAAGAGACCCCAGCAGAGGCAGAGGGTAAGGAGAGGACAGATGCCAGGGGATTTCCTCTCCTGGCTTCCTCTCCACCAGGCTGTGGGTCGGCTGAGGCTGCTCCCCCCTCTTGTGGCCATAGCTGCTGTCCTCTGGGACAGCCACAGGTCTCTGTCTGGGCCTTCCCTTTACCCCCTCGGGCCTGCACAAGTCGATCCTGCCCGGTATTGCTAGTTCTGTGCAGTTTCACCATCCCTGTGGTTCCGGTGTTCCTGCTCTCACATCTGCCCCTTCATTAACCATCCTTGCGCCTTTGGCTGATGCAGTTGGGATGTGGGATAGAGAAGGTCTCGGTGTGGTCCCACCGCCGGTCCTTCTCTCCCTCCCCACGGCCCCACCGTCTGGATGACTGCAATGCCCTCCTGACCGCTTGCCCTGCTTCTGCTCTGACTCCCCCATCCATTCTCCGCAGCGGCTCCGAGTCACCTTGCCTAACCTCAGAGGGCGTTCTTGCCTTGCCTTGAGCCACCATGAGCTTCCCAGAGCCTCCTCCACTCTGGCTGCCCCCTCCTGTGTTCTCTGCCCTCCAGGCTTGCTGACCTTTCGGTGCCCCACCCCCACACGCTCTCTGGCCACAGGTGCCTAGCACAGAACTGCCCCCACCGCCGAGATCATGGCCCTGCCTTCCACCAGTCTGGCTCTTCCACACCCTTCAGGTCTCAGCTCATCAATCACTTCCTCCAAGGATCCTCCCGGCTTCCCAGGTGGAGCTGCACGCCCCTCCCTGGGGCCCTGTAGCACCCCTGAAATTCCCCCTCTGCAAGGATCAGCACCGTGCGTGCCATCACGGTGCCCATCCACAGCCCCGCGGGCAGGGAAGCTCCATGAGGACGGCCTCTCGTTCCCACTCTCACCTCCGGCACCAGCCCAGGCCGGCCACGTCTGCAGAGGAAGGAACGGATGGATGGATGAAAGAATGAGTGAATCGCAGCCCAAGTGAGACCTATGGACGGATGGTGCTTGCCTTACCCACACTGATACTCAGCAGCGCGTCTCTCCTCAGCCCGAGAGAAGTCCCCTCACTTTCTCAGAGAGGGTGAGCTCATTTGCTGAGCCACGACAGAAGCCCAGCCCTTCACTCCCAGTCCTGGGTTTTCTGCACCCCCCCACACCCTGCTGCCTCCACTTACCCAAGTGTCCACACCTGCAAAGTCCTCAGAACCCCTGGAAGTATGGGATAAGGCTCAACCCCGGGAAGAACCATCCAGGGAGGGGCTAGGAGGAGGTGGGCCAAGGCAGTGAGGAGAACGGTGGACAGAGAGATGAGGAGGGTGATGGAGAGGCAGGGGAAGGGAGAAGGCAGCACGGACCCAGGGTGTGGTCGGCACACTCGATGTAGATATTTGGCGGGCAGATGGTCTCATTGCCTGAAAGGAGAGAAGATTATTCCTGGAGTCTACAGTCCCACCCCCTCTCCCCCACCACATACCCAAATGTGGGCACACACATACACGCACGCACACGTGCACACACATGTAGGTGCTTGCACATCCCTATACACGCATGAGCTTCTACATGCTTGTGCATGTATGCCTAAAATGTCCACATGCTTGCAAGCATACGCACACTTGCATGCACACGTATACACACGCATCTGTATGCGTGTGTTCAAGCCCGTGCACACAACCCCCTCAAGTATACAAGCATAAATGTGCACAAGCACATGTATGCTCAGATACATATTAACATGCCACAAGCATGCACGTGTGCAATTCCCAGGTGCACACGTGAAACCACATAAAATCTCAAATGGGGCGTCTGGGTGGCACAGTCTGTTACGCATCTGACTCTTGGTTTCAGCTCAGGTCATGATCTCAGGTTCATGAGATCAAGCCCCAGGCAGCTCCGTGCTCAGCAGGGAGTCTGCTTCTCTCGCTCCCTCTGTCCCTCCTCCCCGCTCTCTCTCTCTCAAATAAATAAATAAGGCCTTTTTAAAAATCCCAAGCGCACACGCATGTCGTCACAGGAGGCTAGACCTGCACACATGCTGTGGTACACGTGCCCTTGCTCAGGCACAGGAGCAGCCTTAGGCCCTGGAGGATCCAGAGCCCGGCAGGGCGGCGGAGGCCGGCGGGAGGGGAGGGCGCCCACCTGGCATGTGCACCATCCGGCAGTGGCAGCGCTGAAGCACGGCCTCCTTCTCACAGCGCAGCCGGCAGGCAGACACGCTGTAGGCTGAGTAGCCCTGAAGCTCAGGCTCCCGGAGCCCGCTCTCCGCCCGGCAGTTGCCCCAGGGCTGGGGCAGATAGGTCAGCTGCGGAGGTGGGGCATATGGCGTCACGCCTCAGAGTCCCCCGGGCCCTCCACTGCCCACAGCTCCAGCAAAGTCCATGGGCGGGGGCGGCGGGGGGGGGGGGTTGCTGATGGGCGGTGAGCTTTCGAGGGCAGGGCCGGTCGGCATCCCCTCTGGGCCCAAAGACCCCTGCCCTATGCCCAATTCAGGACCCAACTGGAGGTGCTCACCCGCTGCTCCTGGCAGGACACGAAGGTTTGGAAGCCTGGGGACACACCGAAGCCCAACTGGTGGATGTAGGGGGGCTCCTCTTGGCTATGGATCTGCACTCGGATGCCAGCCTCAAACGATGTCTCGTCTGCACAGTGGACATGGGGACCTTTGGAAACCCATGCCAGGCAGCGCCCAGGCTGGAGCCCCCAAACTGGCCCCCCGTCCCTTTCCCTGCATACTTGTCTCTCTCCAGATGGGCAGGTATTCCTCCTGTTGGATGTCCAACATGATCTCCAGGCCACTGCCCATGCCCCCTGCCCGACTGGGCAGCGAACTCTGTGGATCTGCATTGAAGGTGTAACACTTCCCATAGCGAGTATAGACCTGCGGGGTGAGAGAGAGGAGGAGAGGAGATGAACGGAGGGGCTGAGACAATTCCTTAAGCTCAAGGTTCCCTGTCCTGTGGGAGGCCCATTGCACCCGCCTGGACACCACTGTCCAGTAGCGAGCGGTCTGCAGCCCCGCCTCTTCCCCAAGCAGGATCTTTTCTAGTGACACCCTCTCTTAGATGATTCAAAGGCATCCCCAGCATCACATAGCAATAGCAGAACTCTTGCTACCTTCCCAAAACCTGTGCTCCCCCTCCTCTAATGAAAGGGCCCCACCATCTATCTATCCAGTTTCTCAAGTCAGAATCCCTGACACTTCCCTCTCCCTCACCCCTACATTAGATCCAGCATGTGCGCTGGGCGATTCGACTTCTGAAATCTCTTTAGAATCCAACCACTCTCCTTCCATCTCGTGCCCCCGCCCCCTTTCACCACCATCTCCCACCGGGCCGTGGCGATGGGCTCCTAACTGGTCTGCCTTCATCCATCCTTGCCCCTCGCTCCTGGCCCTTCCCCCACACAGTAACCAGAGTGCCCGTTGTAAAGTGCATGGATCCGATCGAGTCCCTTGCTGGCTTGAAACCCAACATTTCCCAGAGAGTAAAGCCCAGCTCCTTCCCTGGCCTGAAAATCTCCATGCAGTGTGACCTCTCCTGCCACTCCAGCCCCAGGATCTCGCCAGTGACAAATTCAAACTTAATGGAGCACCTTCCTTCCTCTGGCCCTTGTTCGTTCAGTTCCTCCACCTGGAATGCCTCCTCCCACCCCGCCCTTGGCATGGTTAGCTGTCTTTTAAGGCTCTGCTTAAGTGTCCCCTCTTCAGACGCGTGCCCATATACCACACACACATCACCGAGGTGTTCGTCGGTTTGCTGAGTACTTATCAAGACCTGAGATGATCTGGTGTATCTGTTTGTCTCCTTGTCCAGGGCCCATCTCTCCCCCACTGAGGTTTACGCGGCACAGGAGCAATGAGCTTGTCTGGTGTCCCCAGCCCTGGCGCAGTGCCGAGCACAAGGGATGCTTATAAGCAGTTACTGCCGTGCTCAACGAAGCCCCCTTTTCCCGTACGGAGAGTTCCCCAACATGGACACCAGATGGCGCTGGCGCCCCGGAGATGGAAGCCGAGGCCCCGCCGGCCCTAGCTGCGACGGGGCTTTGCGGAGCAGCTGGGCCGGGCCGGGGGGTGGTCAAAGGAGAGGCGGAGGCAAGCTCCCCGCTGCCAGGCTCACCCCACAGAGACGAGCCCCCGGGTCAAACCCATCACAGGCAGCACCTTCCCTGGGGGCAAGAGGTCAGTGCACTCACTCACTCTCGCGCTCCCCCTTCCCTCTCCTTGGGAACATTTCGCACTGGTAAAAGCTGGGAGAAAAAGCACGGGCGGTGTTGGGGAAAAGATATCCTAAATGCCTAGCTTCAGAGAGACGGTGTAGAAGAGAGAGGGGCTGGGTTAGGGGCAGCGGGAGGGAGGCTGTCGAAGAACTGGGGGCCTGGGACATCCTTGTTGGGGAGCAGGGTTAAGTCTCCCATGCCCTAGTGATGCTCTCCTATCACACCATTCTTCTGTCACCCAAACACCCTGCCTCTTGGTCCTCAAACAGAAATGGGTGCATAACAAGCACGTGCAATTTACAAAACATGGCTACATCCACCCCCACCCTATTGCATGCACTCAGCAACTCTGGTATGGATAGGTTTCATTAACCTGGTTTTTATAGACCAGGAAATGACCACTCAGGGAGGTGATGTGCCTTGCTCAAGGTCACACAACGAGTCAACTAGTCGATGGGAGAAGTGGAATTCATCTGGATGCAAGACTTGAGCTGTTCCCACAACCCATTACTGGGAGCTGCCGACCCGCCAAGCCAGACACCCCAGCTCGTTCTCAGCCCCGCCCAGCGGAAGTGAGACAGGTGTGTGACTCCACACCCATCTGTCCCCCTTCCCCTCTTCCTCCTTCCCTTGCGCGCCCCCTCCTGTACACCTTCCTCACTCTTTGTTCTGCAGATCCGCTCCCTCTCAGTCCTCTCCTGTCCCACCCCTCCTGCTCTGCCCCTTCTGCTGCTTCTGGGTTCCCGTCCTTGGCCCTGTCTGGATCACCCCTGCCCACTCTGTGCTGGGGCAGGAAGAGGCACGGCTGACAGTCCCAGAGCATTTGCCCTGCCCAGGCACTAAAGCTAAATGCCTCACATGCTCTTTCCAATGGGATCTTCACAACCAACCTAGATCCCACAGATGAAGAAACGGAGGCTCAGAGAGGTGGACTGATTTACCAAGGTCTCTGAGATCAGTGCTTCTCAAACTTTCATGTGTGCCCAAAAGCACCTGGGGACCTTGCTAAAATACAGATTCTGATTCAGTAATGTGTGAGATTCTGCATTTCTAACAACCTGCTGGTCCATGGACCGCACTTCCAGTAGAAAGGCCCTAAATGAACGGTGAGAGTCCAGTAAGACAGCTCCACTTTAGACCTGCGCTCTGACCTGTCACTGGAGAGAGGGGAACCCGGAAATGGGCTGGGCGCAAGACTCTTGGATCCCCAGGGGTGTAGGAAAGACAGATGGGGGGAATACATAATTATTTGACTCAAATCTCAAAGCACGACCCTCTTCCTACTTAAGGCCAAAAAGATGCTGGAATTGGCTCTTACCAAGGCAGCCAGTTGAGCGTATGCTCTAGTTGAGAGGCTCCATGGGGGACCCAGTTAGTGAGCTGCCCCCCCCCCCCCCCCCCCCCCCCCCCCCCCCCCCCACCATGCTGCTCTACTTCGGCTCTCCCTGACCACCAGGAACTATCACAGCCTCTCCACAGCTCAACCCAACCCATGGGACTGTGGCCTCCCTGCAGCTGGGAGCCACAGTTTACCATCTTGGCCGGCAAAGAGCCCAGCACAACTCGTAGAAGGAGGCATGAGGTGGAGGGAAGGAGTTGCAGGCGAGCCCTTCCAAAGGCCCAGTGCTATGGTGCTTTTGATTTATTTTCTCCTTTGAGCCTTCCAGAAAACCACACGAGGAAACTATTGTTGCCCCCATTTAATGGTAAGGAAGCTCAGAAAGGGAAAGTGACTTGGCTAAGGGCTCACAGCAAGGAAATGATGACAGAGATTCAAACACAACTGAGCCCAACACCAAAGCAGAGTTAGTGCTTATAAAGACCCGGCAGGTATTCAGTGACTACAAGACTCTGGTAGGCTCCTGCCCGTGGATGGGGCTCGGCCAGCCTCCCTTCCTGATACTTCCAACGTGTTCGTACAGACACATGCTGCGTGACCTGGAGCCCAGCCCCGTGCAGGGCAGAGGGAACCAGGAAGGTTTTGACTATAGTAACTTGGCGGGGGGGTGGGGGGGTGGGAGCGCTTCCTGGCCCCCTGACCTTGAGGCGGTGGTGCAGAACAATGGTGACAGAGCTCTGGGACTGCTGGCTGTACCCTGCAGGGAATGGGCAGACCAGATTGGCAGGGCCACCTGCACGGCCCAGGTCAGGCCCGACTGCTGGGCAGAGCAGAGCGTTGCCCCGGAGACAGTCCCCAGGCCAGGCAGCAGCGGCAGGGGGAGCTGCCAGCTCCTAAGTGGCAGAAGTCTGGTGGCGGCACAGCCCCCAGCCTCTTCCATGGAGACGGCACGGCAGCTCCGCCTCAAGGTCCCCCAGGCTGGTCACTGCTCCCTTCCCCATGGACGGGCCCCGAAGGAGGGTGTGTCCGGGGCCCAGCAACGGAGAGGGGCAGGTGCAGGGCCACGATGTGCCTTCATGGGCTGAGGGTCTGTCTCCAAATGACCCACCATTAACGCCTTTGGGCCCTGTTCCCATCTCAGACCCCCACCTCTTCCTTTGATCTGCCCCCCACCCACTTTGCTCTCTGCCTCAGCACCCAGGTCCACCTTCCTGATCCGAGGCTAAGCGCATGGCCTCCCAGGCTGAACAGCTTCTAGACGGGAGTCTGTGCTGCGTGGGCACCCTTGGACCCCCTCCATGACCTTTATCTGTCTTTCTTTCTTTCTTTCTTTTTTAAGCTTTTATTTTTTTATTTGTCAGAGAGACAGAGAGCACAAGCAGGGGGAGCGGCAGAGGCAGAGGGAGAAGCAGCCTTCCCACCAAGCAGGGAGCCCGATGCGGGGCTCGATCCCAGAACCCTGGGATCACGACCTGAGCCGAAGGCAGACGCTTAACGACTGAGCCACCCAGGCGCCCCTCCATGACCTTTTTCTGACCAGCCCTCTACCTGTCCCTCTCAGAGCACTTTACCCTTTCTCGGCCCAGACCTTGGCCTGGGTTTGCCTCCCTAGTCTCTGTCCCCTGATCTTGGTCTGTGTCTCAAGGCCGTTCTCTATTCTCCCGGCCTGGCTGTCCTCGGCGTCTGAGAAATTACCCATCCAGCTTCTATTTCTCTGTCGGTCGCCCTCTGTTGGCCTGTCTGTCACCCTAGCCTCCATCTTCCTCTCCCACTGGCCTGGCTGCCCCCATTCTCTCTGTTCCTTCGACCTCAGCATCTGCATCCTGTTTATCTTTAGCCTGGGTGTCTGGTCTCTGCCTCTTGTCCTACTAGACTTTTCCCTGGGCCTGAAACTGCCCCTGTCAAGCCAGGAACCCCTCCCCAGGTGTGCTTCCCTCCTTCTCCCTGCCCCCCCCCAACATCAGAGCTTGGGAGAAATCTGTCCAGAGCTCCCTACTCTGAGCAGTGGCTCCTCTCAGCCCCTTGGGTTCCATCTACCCACAGCTCCCATTTCCCTGCAAAGCTCTCCTTGGCTGGCTGGCTTGCATGCGCCCCCCCCAGCCCTCCCCACCCCTCATCCTCCCTGCAGTCACGGAGCCCACTGGAACCCACGGGGTTAACAGGCAATTAGCAGGGCCAGGGCTCAGAGCTGTGCGGGAGAGGGCCCTGGGCCGCCAGGAGATAAGAAGCAGCCCAGAGCAGCAGAGGCTGGGCTAATCCCGGAGCTAATCTGTGGCCTGGGCTTTTATCTTCACCGCCTTCTGGGCACCCTGCCTCCGCTAAGG